TAATTTTATAGTTTCTAGAATCTTAATAAAGTACTAGCGTAACTGCCTAAGGTTAAAAAAAAAAAAAAAAAAAAAAAGAAACAAATATTGATATTTATAAAAGAATTTTGATATATAAAAATTTATAATAATTTAATTTGTGACTTAGACTAATATTAATGAGGTTGATATTAACAGAAGAATACAGGATGTAGGTAAGATTTTCCAGTCATATAACTATTCGGGTCTCCAAGCTACTGTTGCACTGGTATTCAGAATTATTGCAATCACATACTATATTGGCTCTGTAATACTGTAATACTGCATTCGATTTACATATCACAAGAATACTTTTTACAACTATTATTATCATAGGCAAATTTTTTTATTTAAGATTTTACAAATTTACTAAAGAAAAATAAAAGTCAAATACAGTTGGCTTTGTGATGAACTATTTAGTCTGATAATAACAAACAAACTAAAATTTATATTTTATATTAATTACTGAATTAGCAGTCAAAATTTAGAGCATTTGATCTCTTTAACTTTTTTTTTTTTTTTAAGTAGGTTAATTCATTGCAAGATTACAGTATAAGTCAAAAAAAATATTTATTGTAAGTATAATGTCCATGGAGTTGATTCTCACTATATTGAATTTTGCCTTATTCTATTTTGTGCAGTTTCAATATCATTTAACATTACAAACAATTTATCTAAATTATTAACTACTTAAGTAATATAATTTAAATTGTTTGCTACAAGCTCTTGTTCCAGATGACTGGTCATACATTTTATAGCTGCAACTTTGTACTTATGGTTCTGATATATTTTGAGTTAAAAGTTTTATTATTATCTATTTTCACTATACTAATATCTGATTTAGGCTATGAAGTTAATGAAATGTTGATTGCTATGTATTAGTATCAGTATTATTTATATTTTTTTTCATTAATACTTCAAATAAGAAAAGAATAATTTTCTTGCTGTTAAAAATTTCCATATAATAATCTGATATTTTGAGAATCTAGTAATTTTGCTTTTTTAACTATATACTGGACTAAGTATTTACAAATAAGAAATCAGAAATTAAGAAAATATGGGCAACTACATATCCAATGTTTTGAATCAATAAAATAATAAGTATTATCACTATCAACAATTTGTTTTGTAACAAGCTGCTTCCAATTACTTTTAAAGTTATCAAACCAAGATAGAGTTATTTGCCTCTGATGTATTTAATCAAGATAAACAAGTTAGTCAAGAATAAGACAGATACAGATAATTCATACAATATAATCTAGATGTGGTCAGTTGAATAGATAAAGGTAACAACACTTTATAACTCTCCAATATGATTTAATTACTATATTTGTCTTGCTTATTGGAATTGTTATTTGTGCAGATCAAGCCTAAAGTTCTCATTTTGTAACCTTATACTATGAAGACCATAAATATGTCTAGAAAAGTACAAGTTTATTTTCTTTATAAAAATTATACATTTCATGAACGGCACTAGCATGAATTTTTTGGCTGTTAAAAATTAATCAGTAGCATTGCCAAGAATTTTTTGATGCATATTAAAATGCTTTTTAATAATATTAATAACTTTATCATATAGCTCTAGTAGACATACTTTATAATATTCAGGTTCAGAGCAACTTAAATCAGGTTTAAACTTAAAGTCAATAAAACTAAACTCTGTAATAACTTCATCTGGTTGTATTAGGTATATTTGATTTTATAATAACTTTAATTTTTCTTTAATTGCTTTTTCATATGCCACAAACAGAGCTATATACTAATATTGAACCACACTTCTCTTATAATATTAATCTGAGCAAAATCTTTGTTAATAAAAAACTATTATGGCTGCAGTCTCTTATTGTAAAAAAAAAAACCCCAGAAAGTGCCCTAGTACATAGCTCTGTTCACTTAGTATTAGATGCATTTGTGGTATTTAGCATTAAATATGCAATTGAAAACTCTGCATCATAAGTATTATTTATAATTCTATAAAGCTTAAATCTTTCTTTAGCTGTTTTATATGTTGCATCACAATAAATATTTAATACAGATAAGAGTTTATTTAGCAAAGAGTTATGAATTCAATTGCTGTAACTAAATTATCTTTCTACTTATAACAAAACTCACTATTATTTTGAGAATCTTCTAAGAAACAATGTGCTGAAATAACAGAATCTTAATCTAATTTAAAAAAACTATTAATTAAAAACTGACTACTAATAATTTATCTGTTTCATAGTTATTTGCGAAATATTAGATTTTTGATAAAAGTAAGTTTGCAACTGCACAGGGTCCATATAAAGATTATACAGAATTTTATTTTTTATATCTTCTGGAGTTGTGACATCTATAGGCTTTTCATGCTAAAAATCATAACTAAGCTTTATTTTTGCTTCTTTTACTACTATATCTAAATTAATACTTAGCTTGCCATAACAATCAAAATAAACCATCTTTTTTCTGTTAGATTCTTTATATTCATATTCTAGTTCATAATACTAAAAACATGCAAGATAGAATTTATCAACACCAGAATAACATACTAAAATAGTAGGCCTAGTTGTAAATCTACAGATTTTAAAAAAAAAATGAAAGATAAAAAAACATAAAGTTTTGATTGACAAAACAAATTTTTTGAACAATTACCTAATTTTTATATTAAACTATGTTGTTTAAACCCTTGTTTAAGGTTTAAAAAAAGAAAAAAAAAAATAGATAATGTGTTATGTTAAACATAGGTTTAAATTGATATAGCCTTACTTATATTCAAAAATAACTGTCACCTTCTTCAATTTCATTTACTATTAATTTTACTATAAGTTTCATATCATTAGATGTATTTTTTAATATATTATTGTTAAGTTTAATAAGCAAATTAAAAAAAAGACTAGTGTTTTGCTCAAGGCTATCAACTTTATTGAAAATATATTCTACAATATTAGCAAAGATAATTTTTTCTATTTCATTTTCTAATTGACTTATTTGATCATTTACACTTTCTAATTTATTATTATTAGAAAGAACTTGCTTCGATATATTTTTATTAGACTTTTTAATTAAACATTTGGAGCAGGTCTTGTAGAATTTGTTTTTATAAATGAAAGCTTTCATAGGTAATGAGCAAAAACAAGATGTACATGTATTCATATTTATTATTATTTATATCTAATTCAGTATTATTTAACAACAGGTTATGTACAATTTGAATTGTAAAGTTTCTCCTTTTATTAAAACTTCATTTTACATTACATTATATTTTTATCATATTTTATAACAAAAATGCTATGTAAAAATATGATTACAAATTATGAATATATGTATGTACATATTATATTAGGGTGGTAAATCAACTAAGTAATCAAAACTATGTCAGCTATATTGATTATTTTACTATGATCAGATTTTTATTAGCAAAATATTAAAAATGATCAATCAAACAATTTTAAGCATTTTACTTATAAATAAAGCATCTAATTCTAAAGTTTTCACACAAATATTGTACTTATTTATTTAATTTCTTTCGATTGAAACTACTGTAGCACAACTATCTTAAAGTAATTATGTTGGATTTTTTTGCAAAGTTCTAATTAAATTTTGACTTGCATAATTAAGACTGTTTTTTTTATTCTAATTGATGAAATTTTGAACATTCTGCAAGATGAACATTCAAGACTTACATATTAATAAAGAATCCGTAAACATATTTTTATTTTTAAACATTTTATAAATAACCTGTGAAAGTTTCAAGGTAATTCCATGTCTCAATAATTAGTTGAAATGTTTGAAATTTATCACTTAATAATAACATAATAGGACAATTTAAAAAATTAGTCGTAACAGTTTATAAAATGCCTAGGGTATCTAAACAAAAAGCTAAAACATGCAATGCAAGTCAAGCATCAGTAAATGTACGAAAAGCTGCTCACCGTAATAAGCAAATTCAAAATATCAACCAAGTGTTAATACAAATGAATGATAGTGAATTGCAGTTAACCTATTGAAGTATTATGCAATCAATTAATAATGAAAAAAATGATTCAAACATGCAATCAAATGATAATGAAAAAAACAATTCAAACATGCAATCAAATAATAATAAAAAAAACAAATTGAAAGCACCATTAAATGATAATGAAAAAAAAAATCGAAGAATGCTTCAAAAATTACTTTATACAATTGAACAACTGCCTGATGATCAATTAAAAGCTACAATTCATTTGCTTGATACTATGCGATACTTTAAAGAACCAAACGAGGGTAAATTACTTTCACCTTACCTGCAGGATAAAGCTTTAAACTTTATAAGCTCATCTCTTTACAAAGTGAGCCAAGATTCGAGTTTACTAATTCAAAATAATAAAGAATTACAAAAAACAATAAGTCGATTAGAGTACATGAATGCTAAAAAGAATCATAAAATTAACCATTTGGTAGGCAAATTATTACAATATAAGCATAAACACAAGCAATATATTTCAAAGGTCTATGCTTCTGCCCGTAGACTATTACTTGTAGATTCGCAAAGTTTAAAGATAGGCATTTTAGCATTGCTCAAAAAAAATAAGCGTCAATATACATCTCAATTCATTAGCATGGCTACACAAGTATCACAAGTTGGTCAAATATTGTTTTGAAGCACTATCTAAGCTACACAAATTATACTGGGCTTTTTAACTGGAGAAAGTTCTTTGCTATCAATTACACATCAATCTGTTATTCGATGAAATAAGAAAATCAGTGAACTTCATATAAACCAAATTTTAAACCAAAGTAAGGTTTCAACTATTGAAATAATGGTAGATGAGTCGACTAGAGGCCAACAAAAGATATTCATCCTTTGCATTTTATTTTGGAATACAAGAAATAATAGACTGGATTTTCAATTACTAGAAATGAAAGATTTGCAAAATTGTACTAGAATGTTGGTTGCTCAATCCATATATAATACCTTTTATAACTTTGAAATAAATCTGCAACAATGTCTCATTTGTATTTTAGATAACACAAATTACATGAGTGGCAAGAATGGGGGTGTGATTACTTTGTTTAACAATATAAGTAATGCTAAATTATTTCGAATTCCATGTGGAATTCATGTTGCGCATATTATAATAAATAACTTTGAGGAGGTTACATTTGGGAAACTATCTAATATTGGTGGTTTTTCGCAAAAAGAGCACCCAGCAAACCTCTTGTATCTGGCTTATAATGGTTACAATAAAAATGATAAAGACAAGCCTATGGGAGTATGATCAGATTATATTCGCCAACTTTATATGAAACAATTTAAGTATAAGCTAACCCAATATCAACGACCTATTCGATCACAGTGGCTTTATGAACTTAAGTGTGCTGAGCAATATTTAGAGCAAAGAAATATACACAAACAATTTACAAAATGGTTCTTATCCTGTCTTAAAGCTTAGAACAATACACCAAAATCATATATAAAAAAGTGGAAATTGTTTGAACATTGGCTTTGTAATCTATTATTAAACATTCAAATCGAGCTATTAGTTTGTTTTGGTAAAGAATTTTATTATCCTATAGTTAAATTTATTACAGGATACAATTCTGAATTAAAGATATCTGATCAAAATTCTGCACCAATCAATCTTCCTCCTGGCAGACATGCTCACCAAATGCCTAATTTTATAGTTCATACAACAATGAGGCTTAAGAATATCGTCGAAGATTCTTATTTATTCTTTGAAAAAAAACTATTAAAAAGTATAGATTTATTAGAAGATCATCAACTCCATAAACTTGTTCTAGATCTTGAATATAGTACACAAAAAGCATTAGAACTTCACCAAAAATGGCTAGATTGCTGATTGCATTTACTGTTGAGTATTTGTTATTTAGGCAAAAAACATGGACGTGAATATGTACATAGCTTTGCTAATGTAGTTTTAGGAATACTCTGGTCATCAGTGCCTTTCTTGAGAGAATTATGCTATATGAAATTTATAGAGTTAGACATTAAATGTGATGGATTTAATGACTTTGGTCTATCAGCTGCATTGTATGATCCTATGTTCAATGATGAATTTCATTAATTTATTCAAAAAAGAAGAAACCTTTAAGCCAATTTCCTAAAATATTTGAATTTGTTAAATATCAAATCTGGTATATCATAATTCACCAGCAGCAGGTTGAAGGTCTCTTCAATAAATGGGATTTCAAAACTCATCCAAATATGCATAGTGACCTTCAACAATCAAAATTATGATTATCAAATATGCCACTTAGTGAGATCAGTTGTAATTCTTTAGATTTAGCAGAATTTAGAGCCAAGAAACATTAACAATTGGAATCTATACCTGAATCAAATTCAAGTCAGAAGGTTTTTAATGATGATAATGAGTGTAAGAAAAGAGCAAATAAATTGTTTAAAAATTTATTTGGGCAATAATTATAATATTTAATACAATTTAATTTCTGTACAATGATATATATTTGTATTACAATAATAATATTTAAAGTGTATATTGAATATATCGAAATTTGATCTTCGTGTAATATAAAAAATCTGCTATATGTCATTTTCTATAGATTGCTAACATAGTTTTGATTACTTAGTTGATTTACCACTCTAATATTATATACATATTAAAATTTAGAGCTTTTGTCTATCTCTTATTTCAAACTAATATTACTTCATTTTTTTTAAATACTTTCTAATTTAGAGATGCACTAATGTATTTTAATTTATTTATTGTATTAAATTTTATTATTATTATTTTTATTCTCTGATATTATTATTATAAAACATTAAGTAGGCATACTTTGTATTAATTATTAATTGATTATAAGATAGATTAAAAAAAATCAGGTAACAAAATGAAATACAAGGCCAATTGGAAAACTTTAAGCATTTTAAAAATTAAAGCCAAGATATTATAATTAAAATTATCGAGTATAGACATAGATAACTATTACTATAGTAGCTATCAATATATTCTAGAGCAATCAATATATGTCTAAAATTTAGAAAAGATAAGTATTAACTAAATTATTTAGATAGTGCTAATTAAAATTTTTTGTCTTATAAGAAAACTTCGATTAACAAAAGCTAGTTTTTTCATTAACTTGCATAATAATTAGCTAATGATTAACAATTATTGCAGGTTTGATTAACATCTCTAAGAATTTCTAAAGAAGCTAATCCTAATAGACATATAAATTATTTTGAATTTAATAAATTTATGAACCTAATAGCAATTATTGCAAAAAATTAGAACTGATCTTTAAATATGAATAGAAAGACTGCGAATTAATAATTGCTTTCAACTTGCAATATTCACATTATGACTAACAATTCTTCTATATATAATATTTTTTATATTACTATTTATAATTTTTCTGAGTATTCAAATTTATAAGTTTAAGAGTATGAGTCCTATAGCTTAGTGGTTAAGTTCCCATACTTTCCATAGTCAAGGTTAACAGTTCAAGTCTGGCTAAAGGCAAAATTGAAAGATTTTAGCTTTTGTAATCTAATAAGGAGCCTGTAATTGAATAAGAAGTCCTGTGGTTAAGTCCAAGTGCAGTACAATAATGAAAATAGGAATTTCTGGAAGAAAACCCAATCATAGAATGGAGGCATTATGCATAACAAGCAGTTGTTACAGAAGGTTACAGTTATAGAAAGATTGCACATGTAAGTCCTTTAGGCTAGGGCAGCACCAACATCCTTATACCTCCTAATATAGGCAGTACCAACATCCCTGTACCCAACTTGTAGAGTATTTGCTTAGAAGTATAATCAATGGATTGTGCAAATAAGTCTTAATTAGGATTCAAGAAGAGGATTTAATTGGGAAAGTATTCTGAAAGTAACCAAGACTGGAATGATGAGAGAAGTGGTAAACACAAGAATGGTCTGTGATAAAGGATTGGTCTAACCAAAAATTGGAAGCACCTTTGGCATAACCGAATAATCTAATTATAAAAAAGAAAAATCTTGAAGGTTGGCATATAACTTCCTTATGCAATGTAAAAATACCAAATTAGGTTTCTGGTCATACCTATATGGAAGTCTATGATGAACAAGACTAAGATCAACCAACCAATGTAAAATAAGACCTGCAAGGCAGTATGGCATTACTGGGGTCAGTGTAACTCCCTAGAGCATAACCAAAATTGTCCTGCAGGTATTATCGAATAAGCTGGAAGCTTGCTATATATAGTAGTATAGTATCACTAAAGTCAAAGGAACTCCCTAGATATAACTAGAATTGTTCTGTTTGTAAGCACAACAAGTCTTAGTTCCTATCATAGAAGGGAGTACCATGTTGGAGATTAAATATAGCATTGAGTTATTATATAATGTTAAGATCTGAAGCATCTGTAGGAATAATGGCAGCAGACCTGGCTTGAGATATAGATTGATCAGAAGACCAATGGCAGCAGCAGATTTGGCTTGAAATATGGGTTCTTTGCAGATCCTGAACTATTGTCAGAACACCTTAGAGAAATTAATAACAGGCATACCAAAGATAGAAAAATCATAAGGATCAAATATACCTGAATAGGACCAATTTTGGAGTAATACAATAACAAAAAGGTGAGAAATATGAGGAACAAGGTAATACTAAATATAGTTAGATTAAGAGGCAGAAGAAACAAGACTAGGTAAAACATGTAAGTGAAACATATAAGTATGATTTACAGAAGACAGTACTTTTGGCATTTGGAATACTGTATTAAGTTCAATAAGTATCCTTGTTTGTGTAGTAGTTTAATGATATGCCCTGACCACAAGTGGTTGTTAAGATAACTGCATGCAGACATGTAGCAAACATGCACTTAGGTGCCATATAGGTAACTAGGTGAAGTCAGTAATGTAAAATTAAATAGTATATAGTACTAGTAATAATTGATCCTAAAAAATATAATCATAAATTTGTACTATATTAAATTAAAGCTAATAAACCAACTGACATTGTCACCAAAGTTCAAAAAAAAAAAAATTTATAAGTTTAATAAAAAAATTAATTATTTTTTTTTTTGATTAATTAATATACATTAGAAATTTTGGTAAAAGTTTTTCATTTAGTGTATTTTGATTCAAAATGATATATAATAAATTTTTTGCCAAGTAAAAAATTATTAAATATATAAGTTTTTCAAATGTATTTGTTAAACCTGTTATAATTACTAATCTGGTGTTGGGCTAAAAGGTCACATAACCAGAAAATCTCACCTACATCCTAGTTCTTTTATTAAGAGATAATAATTTTTTTTTTTTAACTTTAAGTAGTTACACTAGTACTTTATTAAGATTCTTGAAACTATATATATATACAATTACATAGAATTTCCTAATACCTAAGTCTAGCATCACTTGGCCACTCTTATAATACCTAAGTGCAACCTGCCGCACTATCTCAGTTAGAGATAAACTGCTTGTCTAACTACTTAAAGCTATATTAGAAGAGCTTTTTCCCTTCTGTAACAAGCATATTGATTGTCTTTCAAGCTTCCTTCTTTATTCGATTTGTTTTTTTTTATTTTTCTTTCTTTTCCTTCTTCTTTTGTTTGATTATCCTTCTTCTTTCCTTTATCTGTCTTCTTTTTTGCATAAGCTCCTTTCTTCATCTTGTTTGTTATATTGGACTTCTTTTCCTAGTCTTGTGTCTTTTCACATCAGACCCTCCATACTTGATTATAGAAGATGTTCTATACTGTTCTCACCACTATATTTATACACTTCTGCATTGCTTGATTGTTTAGAAGTCATTTAAGTTTCCCTTCTATATTTGTTTTTGTCAGTCTCTTTGTCAGTGCTTCTCTGTTTGTGATTTCTTCTACTTCTGATTTTCCAAATAGCACTTCATATAGGACTTGTGGTAGGATTCTGTTTTTTTCTTCTTCTTTGAATACATTCCATGCAGTTGCTGTTGTAATTTTTTGAATCTGCTTCTACAAACTTTTTTGTTCACTACAGCTTGCTAAGTGTGCTTGTATTTCTATCTCTCCAACTTGGTATACCTGACACTCTGCAGTTGTATAAACCTTTGGTCTTCTTCTATTTAGCTTTTTGAGTGTTGGCAGTCTGTTCATTATGCACTTAATTGCTGCAGTTCTTCTTGGGCTGAGTTTTCTTGATGTACAGTAAACCTCTTTTGTTCTGTTCATCTTTTTCCAAAAGTTTGTCCAATTATGTAATGTGTTATCTGTTTCTGGCTCTAGCACTTTTATTGGGTTCATTTCTCTCCAAGTGGCTCCGATTCTGGCATTCACTATTATTTTACACAGAAGTCTAACTAGAATGTCAATTTTCTTGTTTTTTCATTCCAAATAGTATTCTATTTTATCACATCTGACATTTTTTGCATATATTATTTCTTTGCAAATTGCTTCTTTTTTTGCAAGAGAGTCTGCTCTGTTATTTCATCTGTCTTTACTGTAACTTTTAACTTTGACTATTTCTATCTTTATTTTCTTGCTTTTAACAAGACCTACAATGTTTATTATCTACATTGTGTTTTTTCTCCTTAAGGTGCTTTTATTCTCTGTACATTGTATTGCTCTATTAATATTTCTTAATGCTGTGATGCTATCTGTATATATTTTTAGACTCTTCTGTTTTAGGATCATTAAAATTGCTGTCTATACTGCTGCTAACTTTGCTATTGTTGCTGAAGGCCATCTTTCAAGTCTAAATAGTACTTCTTCTTCTAGCCAGTCTTCTTTATCTCCTACTTGCACCCAGCCAATACCTATTCTTTCTATATTGTTTTCTTTATCTTTTCTATATAATGCTCTATTGATATAGATAATGTACTTTTATTTTGTTTCATATCAGAATTTCTTTTAATTAGCTTGTGATTGAACTATTTAACTTCTGTTTTTTAATCAGTTCTGCTTTTAATTCTTCTGCTGGTCTTAATTCTAATAACTTCATTTCATTTTTTTTCTATTCTTCTGTTTTTCTATTTTCTAATAACTGTTTTGGTGTTGCATTTATCTTGTTTTTTGTTTTCTTAATTAGTAGCTCAGAGACCACTTTCATGTTTTGGTCTTGTCTTATCTATTTTTCACACTTGTCTGTTATCTGTTTTGATCTATTTTCACAGCCTTTACATACAGTTATTTCTGTATGTATTTTTTCTTCTTCATTATGCATTAGCCAATGTTCTGTCAACACTTTTTTTTTTTTTTTTTTTAATTACTTTGCTGAATTGCTGATCATGTTTTGGTCCATGTATAATCTATTCCTTTTTTCTTTGGTCTTTTGAAATCTTTGTTCACTTAATCTTTAAAACCTGTGTGTTGTAGCTATTATTTTGTATTGGTCTTGTACTTTTCTGCTTGTTTGTATTTTTAGCAGCTTTCTTTCTATTTCACTAAACTATTTGGCTTTCTTCTTCTTGCATAATAGGCCTTGAAAACTTTTAAGCTGTCTTCATGTGATTAAGTTGTTACTTTTTATATCTATTAGCTGATTTATATATAATAATCTCTGCTTATTTATTGTGCTATTACTTGTTACCCATGTCTTTGTTTCTAGCATATCTTTTATTTGTTTATTATGTCCATAAACTTTTTACAGCCATTTTGCTGCCTTAATGTTTATTCCTATTTCTTTTGCTTTAGCTATTGTTCAGCATGCTAAGTTATTTTTCCAAAACTTTTTAGCTTCTGGTTTGCTTTTATTCTGCCAAATGTCTTTTGTTAGGCCTGCTTTTTGGTATCCTTAAGCTATTCTGAGTCTTGTTAATTCCTCTAGGCTGTCTTGTCTGTTAAGTTTTACGAAGATGCTACTAATTTGCTTCATTGTTATTTCCTGGCTTAGTGATTTGCAGTTTTCTAAGTCTTTATGCTCAATTATACAATTGCTTGATGTTTTCATTATGTTGCATTTGTGCTTAGCCAAGCATATCAATGGTTGGTATATTTTATCAATTGTCTTTTTTGATATCTTTGTTAGTTGTAAGATGTATCCTAGCTTCAGGATTATTACTGCATTGTTTATATACACAATCTGGCTTATTGTTATTTTTTTGTATCTCAAATCTTTGACTGTTTGACTTACTATTCCTTTTGCTTTCTTACATACTAATGATTCTCTTATTTTACTGTTTAGCCAGATTCTTAGTAATCTTACAATCTTATTTTTAGGCTCTTTTGTTATTTTGCTGTGACCAAAGGTGATTTCTTTTTCTGCCTCTTTCATTCTTGTATTCATTACTATAAGCTTTGATTTAGATCCATTTATCTTAATATCATTTACCTTAAAAAACTCTTCTGCAATACTCAGAATTCTTATTATTTGTTCTTTGCTATTTGCAATTCATGTTGTGTTATTTGCATATGTGATTGCTGCTTGTTTATATTTTGTAATGCTGTTACTATATGCTCTTTTTGCAACTTCTTGTTCTACTATATATCTTAGTGATTTGTTATCTTGTATTCTTTCTAACAATGGGTTATAAAAGAGATGCCAGACTAGTAGTGAAATTACCTCTCCTTGGTCTATTTTATCTCCTACTACTATCTCTTCTGTTAGACTATAAGCTGTGATGACTTTAAGTTTCTGTTTACAGAAGATATTGTTTATATATTTTCTTGTTTTTTGTAGTATTTTAACTCTTTTTAGAGCCCATTCTAGGCTTTCTAATGGAACTGAATCAAATGCCTTTTTCATGTCCTGTAACAGTATTCAAACTTCTTTATTCTTTTCTTGTGCCTAGCATGCTAGAAATCTGTTTTTATTGGCTGTTGATCTTGATCATCAAATTGAACACAATTGGTCAATCTAACATAAATCTATATAAAATTTTTATAGTAATATAACAACTTTTTTAAATGTATATGTAACAGACTTTTTTTTTTTGCTAGTATATTTTTCGCAACCTAACAAGCCTTTTAAACCTTTCAGATCAAGTGAGATCAAGTATTTAAGGGTAGGTAGCTTATATATAAAGTGTAGCAAAAATATAAGTGTTGTGTTAGTTGGTTTAACTTCTACAACTAATACCGGCAATAATTAACTGGTGAAATGAATTTTATGTAATTTATTTATCACCATTCTTTTATATTTTCTAACGCATTTTGTAAATGTAACAAAACTGTATCACTTCCGTCTATTTCCTGTGCTTCTTTCTCGTGCTCACCTTCTTCTGATTCCTCTGGCTCTTCAACTCCATCATTTTCGGTAAGTTTATTGTCTCCTCTTTCAAGTCTATCCACAAATGAACTAATATTCTTATTTATTCCATTTTTGTAATACTGTTTGCAATGTCGGCATTCATATTCCATTTGAGTATAGCAGTGCCAGTGGAAACCATGACCACAGATTAATATGGTACCATCGTTATTGTCGTTCAATGTTTCGTAACAATGGTCACAAAACCCTAGTATGAGAGGAACATCTGTGCTATAACCTGCTGGCAAATGAGTGACATTAACCTCTTCATCTAGAACCTTAAGTTTATACTTTATATCTTTCTTTTGTCTTTTTTCTTGTTTTTTGACTATATATTTTTTTTTACCATTTGCTATAGGAACTGTACTGTGATGCTGGAACGTTTGATGAAAATACCCTATTAAGAATAATGACGTCCTGTTTATCAAATATTCCAAAGTAGAAGGCATATACAGATATCTTTTCTTTGAATTAAATGTTTCTTTAAATGGTGATTTCTTGTTCGCATCTATTTTTATTTTATTTTTATTTATTTATTTATTTTGTTTTATTTTTTTATTACTATGATTATTGATGTTTTTTTTAAATAAAATTATTTATCTTTTGCTTACCTATAATTTAAGCCTGTTTAATAATAGTTTCGATACTGTTACTGGATGACATATTGGCTTGTATTTGACTATGTAAATTTTCAACGAAATAATCGTTAAAATTTACAAAAAACATTTTAATTGCTTCAAACATTGGATGATTTTTATCTTTCCAATAAAAAATATCTGACAAGAATGCAAGGGGTGCCTTATTGTAATTTTTACGATTCTAGCGTAGTGCAAAAGTTCATATATGAAAAACAGTTTTGATATATTCATCAAAGGAACCTGAACGAAAAAGAATTGCATACACATCTAAGGTTACTGGAATTATGTTATCAAGAAGATTGACTAACATCCTGTATTCTATGTCTTTACATATAGGACTGAATTTTTCAAGTATTTGGTTTTTTATTTTTAACCATCCTTGGTATGCAAGCTAAAGAAGAAGATTTATTCTCTACGGCTTTGGCTTCTTTGCAAGAACCTTTCGTTCACCAAAAACCGCATGAAAAAGCTTCTTAAAGAAATAATAATAAATTTTTATAACTTGCTCCCGACTATTTAATGAAACATGCAATGGGCCTAATATAGGTACAAAAGTGTCAACAGCCATTAATATGTGAAAACTTATGTTTCGCTGTTGCAGATGAGTTATGGCCTTTCGTATAAAAAGTTGTCCAGGCCAATCGGCAACGATTGGCATTACATAATTATCTGCGTGTTGAATATCCTTGTTTATTAAAAGGATTATTTCTAATGCATTTAAGTAATCTTCTAACGAATGAAGATTACTTTCTTTAATTCCGACTAGCCTCACATTTTCCATACTTCTTTCTGTTTCTTTTTCTCTTATAGCATTATCGTAACAATAAACGGTCAAAAGTTCAATTGGATCGAAATTAGTACTTATGTTTTGTGAGGTAACCCATTGATGTTTTCTTTGTGTATATGAAAGGTCAAAAATCCCATGATATTGTGTAATTAAATGCAGGCAAATCAAGAATGCGTCTATATTAACAGGATTATGAACTTAATTACCGTTATAGTTTATTGGAATCAGTGCACACCTTGAAATTTCTTTACTGATGCATGTTGCAAAATGAATTGGAGCTGAGAGAACTACATTATCAGGTTGTCTTATGCCATGTATGTTATGATAATCATCAATGTTATAAACAAAAAAGCTATTATTCTAATATTAAAAAATACCAATTATTTAAATTTAGGAATTATCACGAACGATATTTAGCCTATAATTTTAGGATTTAGACTATAAACCACTGGTTAAATTTAAAATTTTGACATATCGAATGGCATATTTCAGATGCCATTTGATATGCTAAAATTTTAAATTTTAATCAGCATTTGAAATACACGAAACTTATATTTTCATTAAAATAATTTCTGATATTTTTTGGATGCTCATTGACTATTTTCTTTTTATAATTATCAACGGTTTTGTAGCAAACCGACATACTGGCTCAATGCATTGTATCAATAGCATCGCATGATGCACCCGATGCTGCAAGATATAACCCAATTTCCAAAGGATAATTATTTACAAGCCTATTGCGCATTGCCACTATTGAATAGCAAATATTAACTACTTTTTTTTTGTCCTCCTTTTTATTATATGCAGACCATCTTTCTGAAATAAATGCATTGCATAATTCGTCAAAAAATCCTTCTAATAACGGCTCAGCACTCTCAAGCATTGTTTGAAAATAAGTTGGGTCCAATTCAAGTATTTGATTTTCTTTTCTTTGTTTGTTATATAATATTTTAGTCATTAAAGTAATTTTATCACCAAATGATAATGGCTTTCTAACGACACTATCTTGTAAATTATTAGTTGGTGATTTTTTTACATTATGATGATTGGGTTCGATGATTTCAAGATAATGCGGATAACATAGTTGCTTTCTGATTTCTAAATAATTATACTGACTAAATGTGCCTTTTTCTTTTGCTTTTCTGAATGCATTATCAGTAATTTCACAATATTGCTTTGGATTTATTTGGCAATTACGAACTGAACAAGGGCCAAGATTTTTTTTGGTCATTATGAATAGTTTTGAAATTTATCAATTTTTTTAAAAAGCATGCTTCTTTAAATTTATTAAAACAAATTTTATTATAGATTATTACTTATATACATTTGAATAAATTTTTTTAATATGTTACATTACTCTAATTACAAAGCGATGACTTTTACGTTGCCTGCATGTTAGTAATCCAAAATATTTTGGTAATCAGGTAGTGCAATGCACATTTTAGGTAACGCGTCTACAAAATTATTTTTTTCCGTAATAAATTAAATAAAACTACATTAAGTTTGGGTTAGCATTAGAACAACTTAGTGTTTATTAGTAAAATTTTACAAGGGCATCTTAATTAGGCCGCAGAAGCAGTGTTGAAAATTCGTTGTGCATGTATTGTTTTTTGCACAAAAATAACAATACACTGCATTTGCACAAAAAATACAAAAAATAAAATAACATTTCTGTATAAAAAAATTTTTTTGCACAAGATATTTGTGCTGAATTTTCAACACTGCACAGAAGGCGGCTTAATTAAAATTTATTGTTTTTGTTAACAAGTGGTTTCGCTTTGATTTTTTGTTACGCCTAAGAACAATTTTGTGTGCACTAGAGAATTCGATGTACCATCTTATCAGGACTTGCATAAAGTGTAGTACATTAGATCGATCTAATTAAATGCATGTTTAGAAGCATATTGGCATTTGATATGCTAGTATTTAGTAACAGTTTGTTCTTTTATTCACACATTTATTACAATAGGTACTCACAGTTATTACTGTATTACTTAATTGGATACACATGATATGAATTCAGTATTTTTATTGGAGCTAAAATACTTCATGTTTGTGTAATATCTACATGTAGATCACAAAAATTTGACCAATTAAAACAAATTTCTATCATGCTCTTGTGCCTTCTCTATTATCATATTCAGTATATGTATAGGTTGCTTTATAGAGTTACCTGGAAGACCTGCAAAGTTTGGGCCCTTAAGTATGTTTTTTTCTATGAACACTCTGGCTAGTCTTCTTGTTACTATCTTTGTGACAACTTTTCTAAAAGTCTTAATCAATGCTATTGGCCTGATGTTGTTTAAACTATATCTCTATTCAATATCTTTTGGAATTGAATAAATTTGTACTATTTTCTACTTTTTTGGTATATCTTCTTTTTTTATAATCAGATTTGTAAATGCTCTAAAGATTTCTTGTAACTTCTTCTCTGCTTATTTTATTAAGATGTAGCTTATGCCTGATATTTCTGAGGCTGTGTTTGCTTTAAGTTTTCTAAGTATGTCTTTCCATTCTTTTTCTTTTATTTCTTTGTCTAATTTCTCATATCAGGCCTCATTGATCTACTCTTTTGGTTTGTATATCTCTTTCCATTCTTTTGCCATTTCTTCTAGTTTGGTTTTTCTTTTCCTGAATTGATTTTTGTAATATGTTATCAAACTATTTAAAACTGAGTCTGGCTCTGATATTAGGTTGACTTCTTCTTTGTCTTGCATTATGAACCTGTCTAGAATAATCTTCTTGTATGGTCTGTTTAGTAGGCTTCGAATTATTCATTCTTAATTAGTTTTAATCACTTTACATCTTTTGTTTATGTTCTCTTCTATTTGTTTTCTCTGTATTCATTCTCATTCCTCTTTTTTTACCTCTCTGATTATTCTTTGCCAACTTTTGATATCATCTATCCAAGCTTTTGACCATTGTCTATTGAGTTTTGGTAATGTTACTCCTAACTCTTTTTTCCTATATTTTTTAATTTACTGTTCATTTTAATTCTCTCTTTTTTTTCTATATTCTGATTTTTCATATTTTTTGCCCTTCTAATTATTTGTTGAAGTTCAATAATATGCTCACTTTGTTTAGCCTTTTTTTGGTCTTGTCTTCTGTTTATCTTTATGTTGAATATTTTCTTTTTCAGGATCTGTTTGTTTGCTGCTTCGATTATAGTCTTTTCTATTGCATCTCACATTTGATTTAGTTTGTCTGCACTACAATCTACTTCTGCTTCATTATTTTTTAGTTGTCTTAATGCTTTTTTCTATTCTAGCAGATTCTGTAGCTCTCTTGCATACTCTTCCTAGTCTTCTTGTTTTGCCTTGTCATATAAGTATATTGTTCTTGTTTAGTTTTTGTATTTGGTTTCTGCCTTGCTGCATTTTGCGATTATGTGTTTTATTCATACTTTAGCTGTTATTATTTTGTGATTGCTGTTTGTCAGACCTTCTGCTTCTTCTATTTTCACCTTTTGTAACCCTGATGCAAGTGTTTCTGATAGCTAAATGTAATCTATTCTTGTTGCAGCCTCTTGATTTGATCATGTGTATACTTCTTTTGTCAGGTGTATGTTTCTAAATGAGTCTATAAAATCCTGTCTTTTGAGCCAGCTAAATATTAAAAGTCTTTTGTAGCTTGCTGTTTGTGGGTGTTGTCTATCTAGTATGTTATCTACTGTGTGATTGAAATTACCTAATATAACTATATCTGTACACCTCTTCTTGTTTGTTACTATCTCTACAATTCTTTGTTGAATTTTTTTACTTATTGATTTATCATTTGGTAGGATAAAAACTCCTAATACTACTAGTTCTAATTGTTTAAAATATAATCTTACTTCTAGCAAGTATTCACTAGTTTTTTTAACTGCCCCCATATGCTTTTCCTATTTACTATCTATTAGTATTCCTATGTCTGATTTTTTTTTTTTGTCTGTTGCTGCACTAGTCCAGTAACTCTTGTACTGTATGTTGTGATTATATAATAAAAATTTTCCTTCTTTTTCTATAATGTTCATTTTTGTTAGGGATAACAATTCAATATAATATAAATACTATATATATATACATATCTATTTACTTCTTAAATTATTTTATATATATATATGTATCAATTGTAATTTGTTTATTACAAAATTTGGTATTCATTTTGAGGATAACTTTGAGAATACAATTTAGAATCAATTTAGGACCAATTCTGTAAATCTACTAATATGTTTTACTTTTTTTACTTTTATATAAATGGATTGCTTCATCTTTTACTAATTATAATTTTTTTTTATAAAATTAGACAAGATCTTTGTTATGCCATAATTAAGATCATGTTTTATTTTTCTTAATTTTATATAAATAAGTTGCTTCATCTTTTACTAATCATGACCTTTTTTTTATAAAATTAATTAAGATCTTCATTATAGCATAATTAAGGTCATGTTTTACTTTTCTTAATTTTATATAATTAGGTCACTTTAACTCTTATTAATTATAACTTTTTTTATAAAATTATTTAAGGTTTTTATTACAGCATAATTAAATCATGTTTTACTTTTCTTAATTTTATATAAATAGATCATTTCATTTTTTATTAATTATAATCTTTTTTTTATAAAATTAGTCAAGGTTTTTATTATAATATAATTAAGATTATGTTTTACTTTTTTTAATTTTATATAAATAGATTGCTTCAACTTTTACTAATTATAATTTTTTTTTTATAAAATTATTCAAGATCTTTATTATAATATAATTAAAATTATATTTTATTTTTCTTATTTTTATATAAATTGATTACTTCATTTTTTACTAATCATAATTTTTTTTCATAAAATTGGTTAAGAATTTTGTTATAGCATAATTAGGTTATAATTTACTTTTTTTAATTTTATATAAATAGGTTACTTCATCTTTTACTAATCATAATCTTTTTTTCATAAAATTAGTTAAAGTCTTTGTTATAGCATAATTAAGATCACATTTCACTTTTTTTATTTTTATATAAATAGGTTATTTCAACTCTTACTAATTATAACTTTATTTATAAACTTAGTTAGGTTTTACTTTTTTTAATTTTATATAAATAGATTACTTTAACTCTTATTAATTATAATTTTTTTTTCATATAATTATTCAAGATCTTTATTATAGCATAATTAAGGTTACATTTTACTTTTCTTATTTTTACATAAATAGGTAGCTTCATCTTTTACTAATTATAATTTTTGTTTATAAAATTAGTTAAGATCTTTATTATAACATAATTAAGATCATGTTTTATTTTTCTTAATTTTACATAAATAAATCACTTCAACTTATACTAATTATGATTTTTTTCATAAAATTATTCAAGGTCTTTGTTATAATATAATTAAGTTCATATTTTGGTTTTCTTAGTTTTATATAAATAGCTTGCTTTAACTCTTATTTATTATGACTTTTTTCATAAAATTATTTAAGACCTTCATTATAACATAATTAAGGTTATATTTAATTTTTCTTTATTTTACATAAATAAGTTACTTCAACTCTTACTAATTATAACTTTTTTTTAATAAAATTATTCAAAGTTTTTGTTATGACATAATTAAGATTACATTTCACTTTTCTTATTTTTATATAAATAGATTACTTTAACACTTACTATTTATAATTTTTTTTTATAAAATTAATCGAGATCTTTATTATAATATAATTAAGATCATGTTTTGCTTTTTTTTAATTTTATATAAATAGGTCACTTTAATTCTTACTAGTCATAACTTTTTTTTTATAAATTTATTTAAAGTTTTCATTACAGTATAATTAAGTTTACATTTCACTTTTTTTTAATTCATATAAATATGTTACTTCAACTCTTACTAATCATAACTTTTTTTTTTATAAATTATTCAAGGTCTTCATTATAGCATAATTAAAGTTATGTTTTACTTTCTTATTTTTATATAAATAGCTTGCATTAACTCTTACTAATTATAACTTTTTTTTATAAAATTAGTCAAGGTTTTCATTATAGCATAATTAAGATTATGTTTTGCTTTTTTATTTTTATATAAATAGGTTACTTCAACTCTTACTAATTATAACTTTTTTTTCATAAAATTATTTAAGGTTTTTGTTATAGCATAATTAAGATCATTTTTTTCATTTTTCTTAATTTTATATAAATAGCTTGCTTTAACTTTTACTAATTATGTCTTTTTTTATAAAATTATTCAAGGTTTTCATTATAACATAATTAAGG